TTGCCTCTAGGCATATATATAAAATCACTATTTAATGCAATTCTGTAGTCAATAATGCACCATTATCCAGGTAAGGGTCAAGGCAGGTGGTGTTCATTAAAGTAGTCTGTATCCAAGTAAGGACAGGTCAGATAACTAACAGTAAAATAATACATGTCCAGGCAAGGGGGCAAGCAACAACTATATTCCAAGACAAGGCGAAGCATGAGTACAGGAGCCAGGAATCTTAACACTTTTATAAGTCTGGAGCCGTTGGCTGGTGAACATTTAAACAAAGCACCACAACGCTGCCAGCTAAATGATGGAGAGAGGAAGCTAGGCTGATGAAGCTAACCAAAAGAGGTAGGTATTTTCAAGGAGGGTGGAAGTTTTAGGCAGAATCAAATAAGAGTTGATCGTTTTAATGACTTTGAAAGTTCAAATGGGCCAGTTTCTGACAATGGACCTTAAAAGAAATATGGTGGGTGGATAGACATGCCAAATCACCAACCTTCAAAATGGGAGTAGCCAAATGCCAGTTATCAGCAGAGGCTTTCAGGGAGGCAAAGGCATGCACCAGATTATTATGCATGAATTTTCAAATGGCAGAAAATGGTCCACAAGCTTACTGACCCCTGGTAAGTTAGAATTGTGAAAAGAAAAGGAGCAGGACTTGGGATCAAAGCTGTAAATATAAATGAAGATGATGAAAACCCAGAGTGGGAGTGTGTTCAATTGCATAGGTAAATTCTGCCAATGGTAGGAAATAGGCCCATTTGTTTTGCTTGTCAGACATGATGCAGCAGAGGAAGCCTTCTAGGGACTGGATAGTGCACTATGTTTGGCAGTTAGATTGTGGATGATACAGAACGTGGAAAGGATATATAAGTCAATTCCCAACTGAGAACAGAAGACCTTTCAAAAGTGGGACATGAACTGAGATCCTTGGTATTAAAGAATGCTTGGTAGAATACCATGATACTTGATGACTAGTTGTATGGAAAGTATTGAGAGTGGTCTGGCAGAAGGTATCCTGGGTAATGCCACAAAATGGGCCATCTTGCTAAAATGGTCCACTGTCATGCAGATGCCAGCCTTGCACCTAGCTATCAGGAGAGGTCCAAGGGCATTTACAAACAGGTAGCAGTAAAAGAAGGACAGCATGCGTAGTTCTAGTGGATTTTGACCATGCACAAGTCTCAAAGGTCATGACATGTGCATGGTTCTGAGAGATGATCACCATAAAGAATGGGGAGAGAAGAGCTATGGTGCTTGCGAATGACAAAATTACCTGCAGACTTGACATCATGTCACTGTTAAAGCACCTTGGGTCAATAACCAGTTGGCAGTGGCATTGCTATGAGCAGAAATCTGAGCTGCCAGGAGCTACGACAAAAGACCAGAGAGAGCGAGCGAGAGAGTAGTAAAATTGTCTGGCCAGAAGACCCCAGCTAAAAATTTGTATTAATGTGCATAAAGAAGCCAAGGAAAGATGGAAAAATCTCCAAAAGGCATCAAATTACAGATTAGACATTCTTATAATATGTCAACAAAAGTTAGATTTTTATTTCCATCATTTACACTTTCAAAATAATAACAAAAAAATGGCATCTGCAAATGTTTGGGCACCCTGCAGAATTTATAGCATGCACTGCCCCCTTTGCCAAGCTGAGGCCTGCCAGTGTCATGGATTGTTCTCAATCATCGTCTGGGAAGACCAGGTGATGTCAATCTCAAAGGTTTTAAATGCCCAGACTCATCTGACCTTGCCCCAACAATCAGCACCATGGGTTCTTCTAAGCAGTTGTCTAGAAAACTGAAACTGAAAATAGTTGACGCTCACAAATCTGGAGAAGGCTATAAGATAGCAAAGCGTTTTCAGATGTCAATATCCTCTGTTTGGAATGTAATTAAGAAATGGCAGTCATCAGGAACAGTGGAAGTTAAAGCAAGATCTGGAAGACCAAGAAAAATATCAGACAGATACAGAGCGGCATATATACATGATTTTGCACAGCCCTTCCGCCCTGTAGCAGTGGTTCTGCTATAGGATGTTCGGGAAGCGGTTAAGCTTAATTTTAGCCGTATCTTTGTAAATCATTGTATAACTGCTAGCATTTGTGCCTGCTTTCACAGAACTGGGATGAAGCTCTACAATTATTACAAAGAAACTCATAATTTTACACCTGAAATAGTCCTGAACTCCCACGTGTTATGATTTGTGACTGATTTTTGTTTGGAAATTCTTTAAAATACATTTTGAAAATGCTGTCTACTATCCTTCTCAATAGTACTCTGTGCTGGCAGAGCTCAGTAACAATAACATCCCTCAGCACAAGCTTCCTATCACAGATCGGGAAAGGGGGGGTGAGTTTGACCAGGTCATTGTGAGTGGTGGGTCATTTCAGGTGTCTTTCGAACCGCACATCACATTTATACTTCCACTAAAACTACTGTAGTATATATTTGACTTCAACCTAGCTTACAGGTTCATCAGGTAAGATACTGGGTAATTGGCAACAGAGTATGTTAGGAGAACTTTGAGTTGTATTTTTGAGTTTTAGACCATAATATGTGAGTTTCACAACCATGCCTGATGAAGGGACTAGGCCAGGGGTCTGCAACCTTTAAGACGTAAAGAGCCACTTGGACCCGTTTCCGAGAGGGAAAAAACAGACTGGGAGCCGCAAAACCATTGCAACATTTAAAACAAATCCGACACTGCATATATTGCAAAAAAACCTCTGGTCATGAAGGGGGGTAGGGCCCAGTAAGCAAAGGGTTTCATCAGGGCCACAGTGTATCGTCATAATCACAATCATAGCCTTAGGTCATGGCGGGCAACCTTTTTTTTCGACTGAGCCAAATCTCGCCAAAACCACGATTGAAAATTTATTTTGAGAGAAACATTTTTAAAACTGAAAATACATCCCCCCATATAGTAATTCATCCCCCCATATAGTAATTCATCCCCCATATAGTAATTCATCCCTCATATAGTAATTCATCCCCCCCATATTTGAGTAATTACTCCCCCATATAGTAATTCATATTTAGTAATTCATCATATAGTAATTCCCCCCCATATAGCATCCCCCATATAGTAATTCATCCCCCAGGTCATCCCTCATATAGAACTTCATCCCTCATATAGTAATTCATCCCCCATAGTAATTCATCCCCCTATTGTAATTCATTTCCCCCTATAGTAATTCATCCCCCATAGTAATTCATCCCCCATAGTAATTCATCCCCCATATAGTAATTCATCCCTCATATAGTAATTCATCCCCCATATAGTAATTCATCCCCCCTATAGTAATTCATCCCCCCTATAGTAATTCATCCCCCATAGTATTTCCCCATATTGTGTGAGTTCACTTACCTTTGCTCCGCGCGCGTTCCTCTCGCTGGGTTCCCGCGCCGTTTCTGGTCTTCAGGGCGGACTGTGAGAGGAGAGGATGTTCGTCATGCCCCGCCTACATCCGGGCTGCCCCGCCTACATCCTGACAGCCAATGAGCGGGCGCCCGGCACACAGAAGATCTGCATTAAAAAGAGCCGCGGCTTGCCGACCCTATTGCCTGTCACCTGGTGGGCAGTAAGCCGCAGGAAAGGTGAAAAAGAGCCGCATGCGGCTCCGGAGCCGCGGATTACCGACACCCGGACTAGGCTGTAACAACATTACAGTAACATTTTCTTCACACTTGTTTATTTATATGCATATAAAGGGGATGACCTTCCATCTGCATATTATTATTATTATTATAATACAGGATTTATATAGCGCCAACAGTTTGCTCAGCGCTTTACAATATAACGGGAGACAATACAGCAACGATACAGTTCAATACAAGAGGGATAGGAGGGCCCTGATCCTTGGAGCTTACAATTAAATATATAATTTTTTTTTCTATTTTGTTTTTCCTTTTCTTTTTTTTCTATCATACACACACTTCTAAACACCACACACACCGCGGAGGGCACTCGGAGTCGGCCCCTGCCCTCCCTCCACACCACACACGCGCCTTGGGGGCTCATTCAGTTAGGTGCTGAGCCACGTTTTGCTGCTTGCAGGCAACCCTCAGAAGTGGATGCAGCCTCACAGATATAGTTGCATGTCAAAATCTGACATGCAGGCAAGAGGGGTGCACAGATCCAAACGTACAGTGTCTGCATTTGGATCCATGCATGTCAAATTATAACTTGCAACTGTGTCCACTTTTATGGGCTGCCTGCATACAGTAAAAAGTACAGTAGCTCAGCATAGAGGGCAGGTCGCGGTGCCCATCTGAATAAGCCCTTAATAAACAGCTGCAGATTTGAATCTACTTTGTGTGACCTTTGTGCTACTTTTAGGGGCCCATTCACACCAAAGGCAGCGGGATGCATTTTTGAGTGCACTCCAAAATGCAGGTTATCCTATGGGCATAGGACACACTATTGCAGTGCAATAAAAAAAAAAAGCCAGCAAGCTCCATTTTTCCACACTGTAAATGCACTAAAATGATGTGTACATAAAAGCCAGAAAAAAGTAGATGGAAGTGATCTCAAAGGAAACGAAATCTTAGAAAAAATGAACTTCACTGCACATTCAGAATCGTGCAGTAAACATGCAGTTTCTTGTGTGAATGTATCCTAAAATTTCCTCTGTTACAGGCAAAAGCTGAGCCAGGTTCACACTGATACAGTGCGGAATTTGCAGCATTTTCAGTGCGAATTATGCATTGCATCAGAATCGCACCCCGTTAATGCGAACCGCTGCAGGTATGTATGTTAATAACACCCTAAAAGCGGTCCGATGTGCAGAATCGGATCGCATAGGCGTGAATACCCATGCGATTCGATTCTAGTGCGGACCGAAAAAAAGGGGCTGCACATTTTTGATGCGGTGCGATTAGAGCCATACAAAATGTACGGCTCCGATCACACCACACATAAATCGCATGTGATTTGCACAGGAATGCGAACCCAGGCTTACAGGTGCCATGATATGTAAACACATATACTGGATTTGGAGTGAATGAAAATCCCAAATTCAGAAACTGACCATCTATGGGAGTCCTCAGAATGGAGACCGATACAAGTAATTTTGAAATATTCGGTTCATTGGATTAGTCCCCATTCTCAAGCCTACATGTACAGTTGTGTTCAAAATAATAGCAGTGTTGAAAAAAGTGAATAAAGCTCAAAATCCTTCTAATAGCTTTTATTTCCATACACACAAATGCATTGGGAACACTACACATTCTATTCCAAATCAAAACATGAAGAAAAATATATCAAATTTGTGTTGTTCCTCTAAAAAAAAATTAAGAAAAGTGAATATTAGACTTGTTCAGAAAAATAGCAGTGTTTGCATTCTTCTTTACAAACTCAAACATTCACTATAGAAACTGAAAAATGTTTGAAGATTTTGCTTTCCTTTGAATCAATTAATTAATATTTAGTTGTATAAGCACTGTTTCTGAGAACTGCTGTACATCTGTGTTGCATGGAGTCAACCAACTTCTGGCACCTGTGAACAGGTATTCCAGCCCAGGATGATTGGACTACATTCCACAGTTCTTCTCTATTTCTTTGGTTTTGCCTCAGAAACTGCATTTTTGCTGTCACCCAACCACAAGTTTTCTATTGGATTAAGATCCGGGGATTGGGCTGGCCACTCCATAACGTCAATCTTATTGGTCTGGAACCAAGATGTTGCACGTTTACTGGTGTGTTTGGGGTGTGTTTGGGGTGTGTTTGTTTGTCTTGTTGGAACACCCATTTCAAGGACATTTCCTCTTCAGCATAAGGCAGCATGACCTCTTCAAGTATTCTGATGTATTCAAACTGATCCATGATCCCTGATATGCGATAAATAGGCCCAACACCGTAGTATGAGAAACATCCCCATGCTTGCGCACCCATGCTTTACTTTCATCAGTCCAAAAAATGTTGCACCATTTCTCTTTAGGCCAGTCAGTGTGCTCTTTGGCAAATTGTAACCTCTTCAGCACATGTCTTTTTTCAACAGTGGGACTTTGCGGGGGCTTCTTGCAGATAGCTTGGCTTCACATAGGCATCTTCCAATTGTAACAGTACTCACAGGTAACTTTAGACCTTCTTTGATCTTCCTGGTGCTGATTGTTGGCTGAGTCCTGGCCATTTTGGCTATTCTTCTATCCATTTGAATGGTAGTTTTTCGCTCTCTTCCATGTCTTTCAGGTTTTGGTTGCCATTTTAAAGCATTTGCGATCATTTTAGCTGAGCAGCCTATCATTTTCTGCACTTCTTTATATGTTTTCCCCTCTCCAATCAACTTTTTAATCAAGGTACGCTGTTCTTCTGAACAATGTCTGGAACGACCCATTTTCCTCAGAATTTCAGAGAGAAATGCACTGTAACCAGCATGTACAACATTTGCTGCCTTCCTTCCTTAAATAAGGGCAATAATTGCCACTTGTTTTTCAAAGAATGAATGACCTCACTAATAGATCTCCACACCGCTATTATTTTGAACATGCCCCTTTCAATTAGTGATTCAATTACACAGAATCAGCAGCATGCATGTCATGACTGTTGGGTCTGTTGGATTTCTATTACTCTACTACACCTGCTAGTAAATTATTTGCAATGTAGAAATCTCATTTCTACCAAAAACAGTGACTGATCAGGTTAGTGATGTCTGACTGCTATTATTTTGAACACAGCTATATATATACTAGATCGACCTTTCTCAACCAGGGTGCCCTGAAATTTCTTCAGGGGTGCCTTGGCAAAATGTCTAAAAATTGCCAAAAACCTGTATACAAGCCAGCCGGTGAAACAAAACTGCCTTCTAGTTACACCAAGCCACAGGTTTTCATTGTGCATCTATTTGACCTTCTAGCGGCATCCTCACAACCAATGACATCATCAGTTGATAAGGAGGATGTCAGCTACCTACACAGCATCCTAGTTTGACCCTCCACTGCCCCTCTCCATCAGTTCTGGGGTCACTATGCTCAGAAAAACTGAGGGAGAAGAGAAACATTGGAATACTAGTCAGTATCAGTGTGCAAAAGTGTATTTGCTTTGGAAGAATAAATCACCTCCAATGTTGGTTGTCCTACGTGTATGGATGTTGCTGCATTATTTAAAACTATTGGAATAGTTTTTTCACATTTTAGAATGGGGTGCCCTTTTAAAATTATGGACAGTCTAGAAGCACCCCATTTTAAAATGCATATGATGTCAGTTAAAGCAATCTTGCAAGTTAAAAAAAATGAAAATAAAATGTGTTTATATTTAACACATTATTACTCTTAATTAACCCTATTTACCCCTCATTTAACCCCTTCCTCTTCTTTGTTTTCCTCATATTTTTTCTCTTTTTTTTCTATTTCTTATTTCTTCATATTGTTATTAAAAAATGCCTATATTTCATTTGTAAATATTAACAAAAACAAAAGATGGATTTTTCTAGTGCCAATGTAAGAAGAGTTGAAATTGAAGTGCCACACCACAGCTAAGAGGTGCAGATACAACTTTATTCCATTAAGGCCTCGTTCACACCATATGTGCAGAAAAACTGATGGAAACTGACATGCAGATTTCACTTGCAGTGACAACAGTTTAAATCAGTTTTCATTGTTTCAGTGTTCTCCAATGACTTTCATACAAATTGCAGTTTTCTGCGCAGAAAAAATCTGCATGTGATAGTGGTGTGAACAGGGCAAATAGAGAACAAATGATTTTGTTGTGCCCTTGCAGAACGTGTGCATAAAAACTGATGTCTCTGCACAAGCCCTCAATGTCAGGGATATAATTCAAGAAGCAGCCAACACGTTTCGGGGTCTAAGTGCCCACTTCATCAGGGCTAAAAAGAACATCACTGCTAAGATGTCCAGATGCAAATGTATTATTAAATAATTACATAAAAATTAGAACATGCGTGCTGAACAAAAATTACTATATGAGTACTGAAAAACAAACTCATATTCTCATTTTTGTTCAGCACTCATATTCTCATTTTTATGTCAATATTTTGATACCCTCATTACAATTGAGTGTTTGATTTTAATTATGACTCCATGGAGGGGTCATTGTATTGATGTCAGTTTGATATGAAAATCTTCTTATGTTCTTTCTAGCCCTGATGAAGGGGGCACTTAGGCCCCCAAAAGGCATTGGCTAATTCTTGAATTATAACACTGACCTTTAATGGAATAAAGTTGTATCTAGACCTCTTAGCAGTGGTGTGGCACTTCAATTTCAACTCTTCTGTGGAGATCCTCTGGGGTGTAGAAGCTGCCTGCCCAGGAATCAGATCATTTACACCAACATTAATACCTTAAGATAACAATACCAGTAAATATTCCAGCGCTATCATTCCACTTTCCTCATCTTTTCTGGTGCCAATACACTTTCAGACCAAGGTTACAAATTCACAGCTTTATTACAACATAGTAAATATTAAAAACATTTAAAATCCATACAATTGCACTTTGCTTACAATGCCTGTCTTTATATGTCATCCCCTTATGAAGTCACGTATTGTAACGTAACATGTAGGCTGGGCCAATGACGCCAAGCCGAACTAGCGGATGTTTGCGAGCCACCATTTTGTGAGTCGCCTTAGAACAGCAGATGTGGTATCTTGGAAGCTATTCAACGGCAATGCCCTAGTCGGGCACTTTTTATGTGAGTGCACTTACTTTTTAATAAATATTGGTTGATACAAGTGATACACTATGATGGCCATTTCTTCTGCATTTTTGAAGAATATGCTGTACAAGAAATAGGAAGACCATCCTGGATCATAGTGTGGAGGAGGAGAAATAAAGAAACTATACCTACCCAGGTTATAAGGGAAAGGCGCTGTTTGACCTAATTATCTATAGGTCAAATCAAGGAGGTGAGAGTACATATGTGTGCTGGTGGAGGAGAAACACACAAGGGTGATTTCTAACATGGCAGGAAGATGCATGAATGTGTATAAGTATGGAGTGACCTTGTAAAGAGGAATTTATACATATTTCAAGGAGTTTAATTACCATGTGGGAGCTATATGTTGCAAGATGAACACATTGCTTATGCAATGCACTGTGGTTAATATATGCACTTTATAAGAAGTTATATGGGAGTTGATCTATAATGCACATGCACTTTAATATGAGGATTGCACATACAGGTGAAACTCGCAAATATTAGAATATCATGCAAAAGTTAATTTATTTCAGTAATGCAACTTAAAAGGTGAAACTAATATATGAGATAGTTCAAGCTGTGATTTGTCATAATTGTGATGATTATGGCTTACAGCTCATGAAAACCCAAATCCACAATCTCAGAAAATTTGAATATTGTGAAAAGGTGCAATATTCTAGGCTCAAAGTGTCCCACTCTAATCAGCTAATTAAACCATAACACCTCCAAAGGGTTCCTGAACCTTTAAATGGTCCCCCAGTCTGGTTCAGTAGGAATCACAATCATGGGAAAGACTGCTGACCTGACAGTTGTGCAGAAAACCATCACTGACACCCTCCATAAGGAGGGAAAGACTCAAAAGGTAATTGCAAAAGAAGTTGGATGTTCCCAAAGTGCTGTATCAAAGCACATTAATAGAAAGTTATGTGGAAGGGAAAAGTGTGGAAGAAAAAGGTGCACAAGCAGCAGGGATGACCGCAGAGCCTGGAGAGGATTGTCAGGAAAAGGCCATTCAAAAGTGTTGGGGACTCACAAGGAGTGGATTGAGGCTGGAGTCAGTGCATCAAGAGCTACCACACACAGATGGATCCTGGACGTGGGCTTCAAATGTCGTATTCCTCTTGTCAAGCCGCTCCTGAACAACAAACAACGTCAGAAGCGTCTTACCTGGGCTAAAGAAAAACAGACCTGGTCTGTTGCTCAGTGGTCCAAATTCCCCTTTTCTGATGAGAGCAACTTTTACATCTCATTTGGAAACCAAGGACCCAGAGTATGGAGGGAGAATGGAGAGGCACACACTCAAGATGCTTGAAGTCCAGTGTGAAGTTTTCAAAGTCTGTGTTGATTTGGGGAGCCATGTCATCTGCTGGTGTTGGTCCACTGTGCTTCATTAAGTCCAGAGTCAATGCAGCCGTCTACCAGGAGATTTTGGAGCACTTCATGCTTCCCTCCACAGACGAGCTTTATGGGGATGCTGACTTCATTTTCCAGCAGGACTTGGTACCTGCCCACACTGCCAAAAGCACCAAAATCTGGTTCAATGACCGTGGGATTACTGTGCTTGATTGGCCAGAAAACTCGCCTGACCTGAACCCCATAGAGAATCTATGGGGCATTGCCAAAAGAAAGATGAGAAACATGAGACCGAACAATGCAGAAGAGCTGAAGGCCGCTATTGAAGCATCCTGGTCTTCCATAACACCTCTGCAGTGCCACAGGCTGATAGCTTCCATGCCATGCTGCATTGAGGCAGTAATTGCTGCAAAAGGAGCCCTAACCAAGTACTTTTCAGAGGTCCGATATTGTTCTATGTACAATCCTTGTTTTATTGATTGCATGTAATATTCAAATTTTCTGAGATTGTGGATTTGGGTTTTCATGAGCTGTAAGCCATAATCATCACAGTTATAACAAATCACGGCTTGAACTATCTTGCTTTACATGTAATGAGTCTATCTCATATATTAGTTTCACCTTTTAAGTTGTATTACTGAAATAAATGAACTTTTGCACGATATTCTAATTTTTCGACTTTCACCTGTATAATATAAACACGGTGTATAATACGTCAGTATGCGTAGCACTGGTCTATAAAGAGTAAAGTGATTGTTAAATATTGCAAAACAACTGTGAAATAAGCTAGATTTTATATTTTGACCTATAGGGTTTATAAGTGGACCTATATGGGTTATACATTTACTTTGATCTATTTTACATTGCAAAAACATGTGTTAACTTCTTACTTACCCCCAAAATCACCTCCAATGCTGAAGGAGTTGAAACTGTTAAACTTGCATCCACCATCAAATTCTTCCCCACCCTACGTCACACAGGCATCAGGAAGAACACCTCCATTTTACTGCTGCAATTGCAGCAACTGTAAGAGAGATTTTAAGGCAGGTCTTAGCAAAAAAATTAACAAATGATAGAGCTTAACAAATTTGATTTATATTATTTGCACAAAGACCCATAAATATAAAGTAAACTGTATGGTTCACTAAAATAAATGTAGATTTTTGCCTGTCACACTTTTTTTTTTTTTTATCTGTTTGAGAATAGTTAATTGTACCCCCTCACTAAACTTTCAGGATGCTCATTTGTGAGATGAATTAAACAGAGCTGAATTTTCTTGAATTGTAATCTATCTTCATTGAAATAGTCCTATAGAACAACAAAACATTAGGAATCCTTTTGTAACACTTTATAGTCTTTTGACCTTCAACATATCTTCTCCTGAGGTCCCTTTTTAGATTGGTCCAAATTGCACTTCAATCTTATTAACAATTACCAAAGTTGTACTTTTTTTTTTATCTGGCAGGGTGGAAATCACAAATCAACTGATTGAAATATTTGTTTCACTGACATCATACATGTTTTATATGCTTTTCCCATCTGTTACCTAGATTGTTTAAATTATCATTTAACAGATAAGTTAATGTACTGTAAAATGTCATGAGTTCTGTTTGTTAAAACTAGAAGACTGTTTTTATCATGGCTAAGATGAAGCCAATGAATGACAACCCCTAAGGGTTCACAAGCTTATCTCATACCTATAAATTATTTCCTCTCTTCCCTGTTGTTATATTGTGTGCTGTAGCTCAATAACAATAACAATAAACTGTATACTGTTGTTCTACTAGTGGCTTTCAAACACTGTTTAATTAGATTTGCCTCTAAAGAGGGAATGCTTATATATCACCTTTAGGTTCAATATTACCTGCCTGATCACATTT